TCAAATTTGACATCAGAAAGAAAAAAAATTGTTTTATTTTTTTCTGAAAATTAAAAACCTTGAGCGGAGGGTTTGTAAAACAGAAAATAAAATAAATCCTGGCCTTAAATATGTAATTAGATCATTAGTATAATAACCAGAAGCAAAGGATAAGATGTTCAAAGAATTCATGCATTTCACTATATAATCATTAGAGCCCCACCCTAAAACAAGAACCCCTGACCCTGGGGCCATAAAATTCACAATTTTGGTAGAGGCACTCTTGCTCATCATAACTATGTACTTAGTTGGTTTATTTAATACCCAGGAGCAGAGAAGAAGATTTTCAAAGAAATAATTCATATTCACTACCTACTTATTTAGCCCCGCCCTAGCACTAGAACCCCTGACCCCAGGGCCATGAATTTCACAATTTTGGTAGAGGACTCATTGCTGATTACAATCATGCAAACACTTTGACTGCTTGATGTCCAGGAGTAAAGAAGAAGATTTTTAAAGATTGCATTAATTTTAGTGGTTTTGGCCCCACCCCTCAGGCCCCAGGGGGGCAGGGATCATGAAATTCACAATTTTTGTTCCCCTTTACCCATAGATGCTTTGTGTCAAATTTGGTTGAAATTGGTTTAGGGGTTTTAGAGAAGAAGCTGAAAATGTTCAAATGTTAACACACGACGGACGACGGACAAACACGGATGGCAATAGGTCACCTGAGTGACTCAGGTGACCTAATAAATAAAAATAGGGAAAACACATTTGGTTTTTTAATCTAGGTATTCATTTCATAGAGAAAAAATACATGGGGAGGGGGGTATCATAATAAATATTTATATTAAACTTGATTTCATTTTCATGATTTTTGCAATTCTCTGTACATATGAGGAAAAAATACCATACTTTTTTAACTAACATAAGAACAAGATTACATGTACATTTTTTTTATCTCCCAGAATTATATATCAGATTTATTACATTTTTAACAATGTCCTTGATCTATTAACCTTGAAAAAAAAAACGTATTTATACACTTGTACAAGAACAATTCTGGGAGATAAAAAAAATGTACATGTAATCTTGTTCTGATATGTAGCTCATCTTTACTTATAAGTGAAGTATTAACGAAATCCGTTCCTCACTTATACTTACTTTGACTTATAGTACACTTATAAGTAAATTTCAAAATTTATAAGTGACTTATAAATTGCTTATAAGTGGATTATAAAACACTTATAAGTTTCTATTAGTTTTTTCTGTAAGGGATAACAAACGTAAACTAGATGTACTGTGAGCAATCTCACAATATATCCCTGCTGCAATTTCTAAAGTGCCTATTTCAAATTTTGTAAATGTGACCTGGAACTTTTCAAAAAATTGACACATCCTCTGGTCGTTTAATGGTCCTAAATAATCCTCCAGTAAAATATATACATACGATGTATCTCCTTTAGAAAACTAGAGGCATGTTACGAATTTAATAGTTTTTTCTGTCAGTGACCTTGAACCTGTGGCGTTGACATTGGCTCAATTTTATGACACATCCTCAGGTCAAAAAATAACTTTGTACTAGTTAAGCACGAGCTTTTGATGATTCTCCATCCATTAAAAAATTTTAGTCCTGATAAGTGCTGAACACCTTTTCTGTCAGTGACCTAGAATTTGCCAAAATGACCTTGAATGAAGGCAATGACTGTGAAATCATCTAACCTTCAGTGTTTAAAAGTAAGACTGATTTGTTTCTTTCACATTTATCCTCATCACAATGATAAATCACTGTTTCATCCATTTAAATTTTTTGACAGGCTTTTAGTAAAACAAATTGTCTGTTAACCAATGCTCACTTAAGTAGTAACCCGCTCTGATGTGTAAATAAACTCTGATGTGAATAATTATACACAAGTTCAACAATGGCAGCCACTTAGCATCGTTTTTGAAAAGGGGTAGTGGGGGGGGGTAGCCAAAGAAAATTACATTTTACTTACTTGAAACTCAAAAAATCCAATTGGGGGGGGGGGGGGATAGAGGCCGATTTTTTCCAATGCCGACTCCTATCAGTACCAATTTATCTGTATTCAACATGTGTCAACACTACATTTCCCTAGTATATCAATTTCCCTTAGTATGAAGTGTGTGGGGGGAGGGGCAACAAGCCTTTCACTTAACATTCCCAATAGTAAAAGTAATGTTGCTTCATGCCTGAATGGGCAAAACAGAGGGATGAACATGAAATCTACATCAGATATTAGATTCATATAACAAGATTCCTATGGGCTACATTGCTCACCTGAGTAAATTTGGCCATTGCTGTTACTTACCATACCCCCCTATTCCCTGCCCCCCTTTCATAATACCTTAAACCCTACCCCCAGGGGTCTTGATTTGGATAAGTTCATTGAAAATTAACACTACTCCAGGATGCTTCCACATGAATCTCAGGTTTTCAAGAGGAAGATTTTTAAAGATTTTTCATATATATTTCAATGTCAAACTTGGATTTTAGAGAAATTTAGAGAATCTACATTACCCATGGATGCTTCCACCTAATTTTAACCTTTTCTGTCCCAGGGGTTCTTAAGCAGATTTTTTAATGACCCTACCCTATTTTTGTCTTTTCTTGATTATCTTTCCTTGTGAGGGGACTCGACCCTTCATCTTAAACAATATAAACTGCCCTTAACCCAAGGATGCTTTGTACCAAGTTGGTCAAAATTGGCATAGTGGTTCTTTTTAGAAGTCGAAAATATGAAAAGTTTAGAGAGGGACGGACGACTGACAAAATGTAATCAGAAAAGCTCAATTGAGCCTTAGGCTCAGGTGAACTAAAAATGAATTCCCTCATATTGTGATTACCTCAATAAAGAGTGTATAAAAATTTCAAGCATCTTCAACATGTTCAGTGAGTAATTGCAGAGAAAACTATGATGAAAATTTACTACATATAGATAGTTTTCGATAGGCCTGAATTTAGCGAAAGTTACCTCCCGTTGGTCGCCATATTGGAGGTCGACTCTGTGATTTTCCCTCTTTGTCTTACCAAGTTTAAGAGGTTGTAGCAGAAATATTTGGTGGAAAATCTTTAATAAATATTTTTTTTTAAAATAAAAGAGGCTTTAAAAAATTTATATACAGTACTTCAGAAAAATAATGATTTCTAATTCAAAATAGCAAATATTGAAATTTTCAATAGGTTGAACAATGAAGGAATATGAGCATTGGACCTCCAGTATGGCGGCCAACGGGAAATAACTCTCGCTAAATTCTGGCCTATCGAAAACTATCTATTGTACAGACAGAGACACACAGATAAACAGGAAGTTGACAACAAATTAAAACAAGACTAAAACCTATCATATGACATGCCTAAACAAGGAGTGTGCAACAATCTTAAGCCTCTTCATTCTTCAATGAGTGGACAGTAATTGCTGAGAAAAAAACCTGATGAAAATTTGTGTTAATCAGATACATAAAAAATGAATCCCACCATATGCCATATGACCTGTAAAAATAAAGAGTGCTTAAATTTTAAGCACCTGCAATGAATAATTACTGGAAAAAACTGTTAAAAAATTGTTTCAGACAGAAAGACACAAGGGTAAAACAATAAAAGCCCCTCTCCTTTAGAGCGTTGGTATAATTATTTAATTCTGCAATTTGGCTTCATTTTCAGTTTGCCCAAAAAAATATTTAATATACATCACACTGCACATCAATCATGTACATGTAGAATGTCAACCCAATGCACAGTGTAGATTTACTGAACACCTGCTACAGAAATACACAACATTCCTAGACAGAGCTGTGTTAATGTCAATGGTGTTTATATCTCACTGTCAACTTGTACAAAATGTCATCTGAAATGTCAAATGAAAATTGGTAAAATATTGTAGTCACCAAGATTGAATTTTGTTTGAATGGGATGTTAAAAGAACCATATATCAACTATGACATTGACCCCTCCACATCACTGATCTGCGATACCTGCACCCCCACCCCCAATCCACCTATATTACACCTGTAAACCCCCCTCCCACTCCATCCCTTGTACAACTGCCCACTCCCCATTTCCTGCTGAAGTTGATCTACAAACCAGACAACTGGACTGGTACTGATTTACTCACTTTAGTACATGTACAGTACAAACCAGACAACTGGACTGGTACTGATTTACTCACTTACAAATTAGTACATGTATAGTAGTCAAGTGACAATAAACTGTCAACCCATTAGAAGACAATATCAATGAGAGTCATTGTATATGTATTTCATTAGCCAAAGAGAGAAGGTTAAACATTGTATGTGATGTAGTACAGAGTCTATGTCAACTCTACTATACTATATACTTACTACTATTAAAACATCTCAACCTGCCCCTCATGTTTGACATAGTGTTTAATTTAATTCGTTATTATGAGTTTTATCATCACTTTTTATTTATTTATTTTTCCCCTTTTTTATGCAAACAAAGTGAATAATATTTTTTATAAAAATCACCAGGCTGTTTCCAAGATAATCTTAAAAAATCTACTATGTGTTATTGCATGCTTAATCATGTTAATCATGTTTAATTTTTGTTTTCTGTGATATTTTTATCTGTGATACTCGATTCAGGAGTTCTACAGAAAACATGTTGATTGTTATGAATTGTACAAAATGTCAACTTTACATTGAATTTACTTCCTTTCAAATGCACAAATAACTAAACCAAGTACACATTAAATAACTCTTAACTGATTAAATAATAAGCATTTTATCCTGCATGTATTTACTTTAGTTTTCATGTTATAAATAACAGTTAATAATTTAAATGTATCCTCATATTTGTAATAATTCTTGTTACTTAATGCATCAAGGTATAATAGACTTAGTCATTTAATTTAATTACACTAAATACAATAAAAATGTTGATTAATGTCTTGTAAATATATATATAAAACACTGATAATAATACAGTGTACACACTGAACGTTGTAAAACAAAACACACAATCATACTTAAGTATAACTTACCAGTCAGGGAGTCCCCGGTTATAAGTCTGTAAATGTTCACTGTGTTGTAGAGTGATCCGATCCAGACACAGTGAGTTCTGTCATCATAACTCAGGCCCCGTGGTCCGACTATCCCGTGTTGTTCTCTCTCTATCAGTGACAGGAGTCGCCCGTCACTGTCCAGTATATGCATTGTGTGGGTGTTATAATCACACACCAGGATGTGTGACAGCGCGTCAGTACAGATTCCATGTGGTGCTAGTCCTGATCCTGATGGAGGACCTCTGTAGGTGAAGCGATGTCTCCCTCCTCTGTCTGTCACCACTACACAGTCCCGGTCAGACACAATAACATCTCCATTGCGGTTCTCTGTGATGTATCTAGGTACACTATACAGTCCCTGACCTTTGTTGTTGTGCTGTATGGTCTGTATGTGTTCTCCAGTGTTGGTGTAACGGTTTACCTGGCCTGTATCTGTATCAGTATTATACATCCCGACCAGCAGGTGTCCAGTGGAGGGGGAGCTGTAGACACACTGTGGTCTCCATGGTGCTATATAAGGTATTACTGTGGTCTTTATTCTGTGATCTTTAGACAGTTTAATGATGTTACGGTCACTGTCTTTATAAATTAAGTCACCACCACCAGTCACAGTATGTAATCCAGTATCATATTCACTTAAATCTTTCACATGATGTAGTTTTTTACCCGCGGTGTTTGTCAGTATAAGATTGCCTTTATTATCACTGATCCAGACCTGGTCTGATGTCACGTGGGTAATGTGACGACACCCACTAACACCTGGCACTCTGATAGATTCCTGTAACACCAATCTATACATCATTGATACCAGGCATCTATTTCTTCTCTGTGACTTTATTATCCTGTGTTGATTTCCTTCTGTAAATAACATTGTGTCATAATTATCTACATCAATAACAGGAGTCTGTTTACACATTTAACAATGCCTTAATACATCAATAAGAGGGCTCTCTTCACAATATACTCATTAACTCAGATTTATTCATGCTTTGGTTTTATAAACTTACAGAGAAGAATTAAGACCCAGATAAATATAAATACCTTTATACTGAGAACTCAATGCTTTGTCTCCAATAATAACAACCTCCAAGTGTTCTCAACCAAACCTGTCCAACAAAGAATTATTTATATATCAAAACATATAATATAAATTGTGAAATGCTGGAAAACTTTTTAGGTAACAATATAAAATCACTAGACATTGTATTTACCTTTAGTGGGTCAATTTTATCAATTACAAAAGAATTAGAATTATAAACACTGATTTTTTTTAATAATATATATTTTACAAGTTGTGCCGCATTTAATCTTGATGTTCTTAATAAAAACAGAATATGATACTCTCTGTATTTAAAGTACTTGGACACAGCTTTGAAGTTAATTTTTCTGTATAGTATCACGAATTATATATTTTAATAGCATTTCACACAAAAATTAATTAAAAATCTTATTTCATTTAAAAGTTATCAAAACTTTAAATTTTTTGGCAGGTTGGATTCTTGCACTTTCACAAATTTTAGCTTTATTCTTAATCCTTAGGAAAAGTGCCAATCTTGTGTAATAATGAGAAATACTAAAACTTAAATCCAGAAATATAATTTTCTTCAGAGTAGAAACGTTAGAAAGCAAACTCCTTCAAAATTATCCTCATTCCTTTGTGTACACAATGTACAAAGTTTAGCAAATCGAGCACACTCGTGTTATGTACACAGTTTTTGTAAACAAGGCAAAAGCCTGTTATTGTTTGATGTTTACAATTCACCGGATGCGCGTAATCGCCAAAGTCTGCTCACCAGAACTGCACGGACTGACAATATATTGTGTGTTTGTTTTGCTCTCGACTCTGAATTTTCTGGATTATAGTATTATTAATGATATTTTTCATTAATACACAACAAGATTGCCAATTTTCGTAAGGATTAAGAATAAAGTTAAAATTTCTTAAAGTGCAAGAATTTGTCAATAAAAACAGCAAAAAACTTTAAGATTTTATAATAACTTTTAAATTAAATAAGATTTTTTATCAATTTTTGTGTGAAATGCTCTCAAAATATATATTAATTCATAATATTATAGAAAAAAATTAACTTCAAATCTGTGTCCAGGTACCTTTAAAACATGACGTAAAGTTTTTTTTGAACAGTTATATACATGATATAGTGCAACAGAGAAATGTTTACCACATCAATTTCTGGTATCTGATACACCTACTGGTTTGTTTCTTTTCATCTTCCTTAATTCTCTGTCCTAGTCAGTGAAAAAAGAAAACAAGGGACATAAATATTCATCATTCTTACAAAAACATATTTGTTCCTTCTTTCATTTAATTATGTGAAAATAAATTATAATTTCTTAAATTAAACAAGATGTGTTTGTGAAACACTGACGCTCCTTCATGGCAATTTAATGTATCAAACATTAAATTTTTCTTATATGCAAATTTAATTATTTGGTACAAAAAGTAGGGTATTCTCACTGGAAAACAATTGTGAAATTTGCAAGTAAGCCAATGTTTGAGTTTTTTCAATGGTCAAGGTCAAAAGGTCAATGTAATTTGGTATCAAATGAAAGGTCCTTGCCATAAGGAATACTTATGTAGAGCATGAAAGCCCTAGTCCTAAAAGTTCGGAAGTTATGGCTAAGTTTCAAGTTTTTTTTTTAAAAAAGTAGGTCAAACTCCACGGTCAAGGTCAAAGGGTCAAGGTTCTTGTTATGAAATGAAAGGTCTTGTCACAAGAATAAAATATGTAAAGTATAAAAGCACTAGCCCTAACCCTTTAAAAGTTATGGTCAAGGTTTGGTTAATTAAAGTAGGTCAATCTCAAAGGTCAAAGGGTCAAAATTCTTGGTGTCCAATGAAGGGTCTTTTCACAAGGATTACATATATGAAGTATGAAAGCCCTATACCTTACCGTTCAAAAGTCATGGCCAAGGTTAAAGTTTTTCACAAGTACAGAAATCTACAAGGTCAATGTCAAAGGGTCGAGGTTGTTGGTATCAAATGAAAGGTCTTTTAACAAAAATTAAAAAAAAGTTATGGGCAAGGTTCAAGTTTTTGCAGAAAAACAGGCAGAGAGAGAGACAGACAGACAGAGAGTCAGCTAAATAGACGGACGGACATGACAAAAACTTTATACCCCCGAAACTTTGTTTACGGGGGCATAAAAATGTGATCAGAACAGTTCACTTGATCTTCAAAAACTGGATTTTTAGCATGTATGTAAAGGGGAATAACCCAATTTTCAACTAGGAAAAGATTGACGATGGAGTTATTCCTCTTATCAATATGTCAATTAATTTGATCAATGCTGCAGTGTTTGACTATACATACAGATATAGCAGTGCAAGAGTGAATGAAAAATAAAAACCTGCATGGTGGTGATTTCATAGTCTTCTTTACAATAGCTCAGGCAAATCCTTGGGAATCTGTCAAAATAAATTTAAACCATTAACCTTTGTTTCTTATCTAGCTTGTAACATCAGATTTAATTGGTAAGCGACCCGGGTGTAAATTATTCCCCTTATCAATTTGATCAATGCTGCAGTGTTTGACTATATATACAGATATATATATATATATATATATATAGCAGTGCAAGAGTGAATGAAATACAAAACCTGCATGGTGGTGATTTCATAGTCTTCTTTACAATGGCTCAGGCACATCCTTGGGAATCTGTCAAAATAAATTTAAACCATTGACCTTTGTTTCTTTTCTAGCTTGCAACGTCAGATTTGATTGGTTTAATAGCGGCCCGGGTGTAAATTTACATACATTAACTTGCCATGATGTCAATGCACACATAAATATTAAACCCAACTGGTAGATTGAAACACTGTTAAGTTGAGTGGTACATAAGAAAAAAACTAAGGGTGTACGGGCATTTACTCTTTGTTTTATTCCATACACCCTGAGTCTGAGGCCTTTGGCCCTCTGACTGATATTGGTGTCTCGATTGGGATGATACAGGATGTAATGTGGAAAAGGGTATGTGTTTTATATTAGTCCTTCCATCACAGCGGTTGAGCGTTCGCTTCGTGATCGGTAGGCCAGGGTTCGATTCTTGATCACGGCGTTGCGTCATACCTAAGACATAAAGATAGGTAGTGACTGTTCCTTTGCCAAGCATGAAAGTCACGGGTCTTTCGGTTATGACCTTAAAAACATTGGTCCTGTGTCATGGTAGGCGTTGGCACGATAAAGAACCCTCACTGCTCAATGGCCCTGAGTGCTGAGTATACATGTAGGTCTAAATTTGAAGCCCTTCACCGGCATCGGTGACGTCTCCATATGAGTGAAAAATTCTCAAGAGGGACGTTAAACAATATACAATCAATCTTCCATCACACATATGAACAACAGAATTCTATAAATCCCTTTGCAATTTTAGTTACCGTGTAAGTAGGTTTTTTAGTGAGGATTTAATTTTGGCATTATTAGCGAGGGTGTGAAAATCGCTAAAATTGAATATCGCTAAAAATTAATTGCGTATTATTTATAATAGCTTCTTTAGTGTGCATCTAAAATCGCTAAAATAACATCTCGCTAAAAATAAATTACCAGTTTTTAAGGACTAATCGCTAAATTTGCGTCTCGCTAAAATTTCCACTTATACGGTGGTTGAGTTCGACTATTCCACTTGGCAAACAGAGTGTTGACGCTGTTTACAGAGATAAAAGAAAACAAAGACAAGCAAGCCATTTATGGTTTTGAAGATAAATAATCATAGAAGACAATAGTTACAAACAATTTGCCATTGCTTTTCCTCTGAGCATGCTGGCCCTGGGATCATGAAGCATCTAAGCTTGAGTCAAAAAATGCCTTAGATGCTGAATTTTTTCAGAGGTCAAACAGCCCAAAATGAAAATGCCTTCCGATTTTGTATCATCAGTCTGCTGTTATACGCAAATTATGAGTTATCCCAAGAGTTCATGATATGAACACTACATTTAACTGAAGATGCTTCCATATAAATACAAGAGGCCAATGGGCCTTATAGGTCACCTGAGCATTATGCAACAACTTTCCAGTCATCAAATTTGATTCATATTTTAAGCCAGATGCTATGGCATTCACAATTTTGAAAGAGCTGGCGGTCCATTGGTCATCATAATTATACACTTAACAGTTACTTAGTTTGGTTACTAAATACCCATAGGCAGGGTAGGGGAACAAAAAATGCATTTCAACTAATCAGTAATATTCAGCAATAATCAGTAGTGTCCCTATCACACATGAACCCCTGACCCTTAGGCCTAGATCCACATATTGCACAATTTTTGTACATGCATTCTTGCTTTTCAAAAATATTTGATTAATACCAATGAGCAAGTTTCAAACAATTCATTATATATTATTTTCAGTATTTAAAACAAAAGGCCCAGGGGCCACAGCGCCCACCTGAGCACATCGGGCTTGAATTTACTCCAAGTCCAAGACAGACCCTCTGGTAGAGTCAGCGGCATTTAGTGGCATTTGTCCAACACAGACCCTCTGGTAGAGTCAGCGGCATTTAGCAGCATTTGTCCAAGACAGACCCTCTGGTAGAGTCAGCGGCATTTAGCGGCATTTGTCCAAGACAGACCCTCTGGTAGAGTCAGCTGCATTTAGCAGCATTTGTCCAAGACAGACCCTCTGGTAGAGTCAGCGGCATTTAGTGGCATTTTAGTGCCCTATCACACATGAACCCCTGACCATTAGGCCTATATCCACATATTGCACAATTTTTGTACATGCATTCTTGCTTTTCAAAAATATTTGATTAATACCAATGAGCAAGTTTCAAACAATTCATTATATATTATTTTCAGTATTTAAAACAAAAGGCCCAGGGGCCACAGCGCCCACCTGAGCACATCGGGCTTGAATTTACTCCTCCCCCCCTTCCAGGCGGTCATCATTTGAACAAATTAGAA